TCCCTTCGGCTCTCAGAGCTTGGGGATCTCCGCAGGGAGGCTCCGTTACACTCACTGCTCGGCCAGCAGTGAACGGAGCTACCGTTTCACCTCTGGGCACCGGGAGGTGACTGCGTGGCCCTTCCTCCGCCTTTGGCCACTCACTCTATTCCTACTCCTTAAGGGGACATGTCTTCCTTCTCACAGCCTGATTCACCTACCTAAATAAGATTAATGCCATTTTGGGGCGTCTTATATCCTCTAAACTTGCATTTAGCCTGCAAAAGAGACTGATGGATAGTATTCTCAATGTAGAACATAACAAAGGAAGCAGAGAGTTGAAGCCTGTCTTTCTGGGCCTCATTATCTGTGGAAGGAAGGACTTGAATTAGATGAGCTTTTAGTCTCTTCCTTCTTTAGCATTCCACAGTTCTATGGAGCTATGACAAACTGCCAATTGTATGAAAAACTGGTATTACCAGGGGTGCTACTTCTAGTTCTCTCTTCGCAAACAAGCCACAGATTTATGGCAGTGAGTCGAAAATTGATGCACAGTGAATGTTACCCTCTTTGGACTCAGGGTTTGTTTGGGGGATTCGGAACACAGACCAGTTGCCTTTTAAAGAACTAAAACTGACAACAAACTGGCCCATTTCTAGGGGGATAAAATAGTAACTGGCTTTCTGTTGTCCTTGGATTTTCCCCAGACTTTCTCCTACCATATAGGAAGTAATATGGCTCATCATTTTCTTGGTACTTAAGTTCTGGAAGACAAATCCCAGAATGCTACATTTTCTATCCATGAACTATGGTGCCTTTTCCTTATGTATGATAGTTAAATCTTTCTTTAGAGAAGAGGCTATATCTTGATTTAGTTGCTCTTGATTTAGTCCCTCTTGATTAGTTACTCTTGATTTAGTTGCTAAGTTGTATCGGACTCTTTGCGATTCCCCTGGACTGTAGCCTACCAGGTTTCTCTGTTCATGAAATTTCCCAGGCAAGAATACTGAAGTGGGTTACGATTTCCTTCTTCAGGGGAGCTTCCCAACCCAGGGATTAAACTCTGGTCTCCTGCATTCCTGGCAGATTCTTTTCTGCCACCAGGGAAGCACTGTAAGGGGTGGAGTTTAATCTGCTTAGAATCAGACAATCACGTGTCTACCATAACCTCAGAGGGTTGAGAGACCCATCATCCAAGAAATATGCTGTGTTGTCCTCCGGAAGTTATTCATTCCTACTTATCAAGCATAACAAAATAGTTCTTTCTTCTTCCCATATTATTCAATAGAGAGGATTTTGAAAACACTGGTTTCCATATACTACAGTCCCTGTAAACACCTGGCTTATTTCATCCTAATTCCCTGTAATATTGGCCTTAGGAAGGAATCATCAGCTCACACACTGGGCTGTCTGATATTTTTATGTAGATTTTCTAGTGCACTGGTGGTGACCTTTGTTGAGTCACAGAGTTCTCTGACAACATGATGAAAGCTAGGGTCTCTCTCAGCAAAAAAAAAAAAAAAATCTCATCTTACATATAATTTCAAATCAAACAAAACTCTGTTGAAACCTATTCACAGACAGAGGCTAAGAACCCTTGCATAATGGTTGCAAAGTGGTCATGAGTACCATTTCTCCTTTAATCTCTAATAGTATTTGTGAATTATTAACATAAAACAGTAGTCTTATATCATTTTTGTTTTCCTGAATCACTTTCTTTAATTTAGTTTTTTCCTCACTGTGACTAAGAACAAAGGCATTTAGAATAAGCCTTCCAGAATTTAATTTACAACTCTTGGCTCAGAATGCAGTTGGTAACCGATCTGAGCTAAAACCACAGTGACACTGAACAAGCCATTGTTCTTAAGATTTAACTGAGGTCAGCCAAGCTGTGGGCACATATAAATCTCCATAGTTTCCACTTTACTACCAGGACATCTAACTACAAAGCAGAGGCTAAAAATGGATCAGGCCCAGTGTTCACATACATTCCACAGAGCTGCATTTCCAACTCCACACCAGTTTTAATTAACAACACTCTTCACAACCCCAAGAGAAAGATTTCATTTAGCAGGGAAAAGTTGCTCCATTTTGAAAAATTAAAAATACAACCTGAAAGAATTATAAAGATTTTGAAATGTTCAAAGAACATTATCTGCACCTGTTAGCTCTAGGTCTAAAAAAAGAAAAACTAAAATGCCCCCAGGATTAGGTTAGCTTTCTTTTCTTTTACATTGCAATATCCAAAGGAAAAAATATTGGCATCTTCCCTTTCTTCTTTTTAGGTCCACATTTCTACTAAGAAGTGGAGTTGTTCAAACATACCAAGCCATTAATAAATACCTATCTACCTACATAAACACTTAAATAGCAAGAAGGAACAAGATGTGAGGCTGACCATAGAAATAATTACAGTTCTACTTCCTACAGAAAGTTTATTATCTGAGGTTGTTTATAACTAATATGGCTAAGTCTGCCAAAGACAAAATAGAGCAAATGTTTTCTGGACAAAATACAAAGATGCTCAAAGGTTCAATTACTAATGTTTGATATGATGTATCAGACTGTAAATAAATATGAATGGTGTATATATGGTTAAAAGAAGAATTTAGGAATAGAATTTAAGAAAAAAAACTCTCTTTAAATAACAAATTCATAAAACTCTATAGACTCTACAGCATTGGGGGAATGAAATAAGTATACATGAGTTAGCTTAAAAATTGTACAGTAATGAAAACACCCATTTTCTACATTTTCTGTAGATTCAGCACAGATGGACTAGGAAAATGGATATTTAAAACATAATCCTCTCTATTACAAGACAGCTGCTTTCCTAAGTGAGATTCTTAAACATATGTATGTAACATTCTTCAGGAGAACATGTGGTACTATCACATAGCACGGTGCCCATTCCTGTTTCGTTTGGAAAGCAGGTCACTTGAAACAAGGGCCAAAAGAAATGAATTCACCTCCTCCCTGACAATATTTCCATATCTGCAGCCAATTCGAGGTCCTTATGAATATCCCATGGCACACATAACCCGTGAAAGTGGGATTGGAAAACGATCCTATTCCATTTTAAGTGGAATTTCAGAATGTTGCCATCATACACTGCAGGTAATTCCAGAGACTTTGGTATTGGATGTGCAGAAGCTCCCAGGAGGTCGGCACCGCACCCCCAAAAGCACAGCTGTACATCAGGTGCTGTTTAACCCACAGGGATACAGGAGTTTCTGCCTTCAGAACCAGTCCTTACTTCTGTTCATACAAACCACTGTATTACGTCCTCAATCACTTTTCTAATTCCTAGAAGTAAACTCCTCTCCAAGCTACCCTGACAGATATTTTGTGGACTTAAATTGCATAAGACTTAAAATAATATCTGTTTATAGCAAATAATGCAATATACGCCAGACAGAGGAGATCTGAGGCAGCAGCTGGTAACTGACCACACAGCCCAGGAATTCTTACGTTTGGAAGTTCAACAATTCTTTCTGTGGACTATAGATAGACATTTAATAAAATCACATGAATCTTGCAAGTGTTTTTTAATCCCCATGACACATTTCGCTCGGGATACTGAGAAAATAAAAACTGGCTTGGACTGAGAAAGTACGGATCCAGCCAGCATTCATCAGGCTGGAGCAAGACACAGAGAAACCAACCTCAGGGTTCATAGGAAACACTTCTCCCAGTGACACTGCTGCAGTAGAAGGTTCTGACAGCCTCTTCTGCGTGACCAAAGACTCGCCGAGCAACTTTCTTCTCCAATATCAAAGATTATAAGCAGGTTTATTGTTTGAAATTTTATTAGGAAGAATGAGATATTGCCTCTTTGTGTGGGAGACCTCAGAAGCAGATTCAGTTCTCAGCCCATGTGCTGGGCTCCATCTAAGAGATTTCTCGATATAACAGTCCTCATTTATCTCAACTTGACTGTTTCCAAAGCAACAGGGCACTGATTCACTTTTTTTTTTTTATTCACTTTTTAGACCAGACCTGCATCTAAATGCCACTCTTCCTAGAATCCTACTGAAACCCTCTTTTTCTTTTCTTTTTTTAAACTTTTAAATTTGTTTTGGGGTATAGCCGATTAACACTGTTGTAGTTTTGTGTGAACAGCAAAGGGACTCAGCCATACATATACACGTATCCATTCCCCCCTCAATCTCCCTCCCACCCAGGCTTCCACATAACATTGAGTAGAGTTCCATGTGCTATATAGCAGGACCTTGTTGGCTATCTGTTTTAATGCTTTAAACATAGCAATGTGTACATGTCCATCCCAAACTCCTTATCCTCCCCTTATCCTTCCCCGTATCCTCCTCTTGGGCAACCATAAGCTTATTCTCGAAGCCTGTGAGTCTGTGAAAGTCTCTCTTTTCCTCTGGTGTGGGGTCTCCCTCATGGCAATGGGTTGATAAATCGAATTCTCTCAGAATATAGGTTTGTTCCTGGTATTGTTAGGCTGACTGAGATAGGGCCATGTTTTTATAAAATGCTCTGGCTAAAGAAAATATTTGCTGCTTGAATAACAGTTTGGAAATTGGATGCCGGCTTTCAGATACAGAAAGAATAGAACACATCTCTGCTGCAGTTTGGGTTCCTGTGGCCTGTGAATTTTAAATCCTATTCTCATCTAAGTTGAAAGTTGTGAGGGCCAGGAAACCTGCTGTGAGTGTCGGATATGAGATCTCCCAACTCTTCTGCTGCTGAATGTTGAACACAACCTGTGGCAAAACTTCTGTGCTTCTAGCAATATCACAGTTGGCAATTCAACCAAGACACCCCAGGGTGACTGCGAAGCTCTTTGTGAAACTCAAGCAAGCAAGGGAAAGGGGAATCCAGGACATAAGTCCCAGGCCTCCCAAACACATGTTTTGGCCTTGCTCCACACCTGGTTTAAAGGTAGGGCTGCCAGACTCAAGAAGAAAGGAAAAAGTAACCTGGGGCGTAAGGCGGGGGTGGGGCATTCAGAGCGCGCGGCTTTGCCCAAAGTTTTAAGGCTGCTTGGTACCTACCCGCGGGAGTGGCCATAGTCGTAGGCCGACGTCGCCTTGTGACCGGCTGCAGAGGAGAGGGCAAACTCGGAGGCCCGGGAGGCCTGATGCTGGTAGGATGCGGCGGACACCTGGCTGAAGGCCGCTGACTCCTGGCGGTGGGCAGCGGAGGAGCGGCTGCTGTAGGCGGTGGAGCCGTGGGTGTAGATGGCCGAGCTTTTCTTCTCCTGCTGGTACTGGCTCATGGTGCTGCTGAGGTCCTTGCTGCGGTAGCTGCGGTCATAGTGCTGGTGAAGCTTCTGATAAAACGGCAGAGACATCGTGTGCCCCCAGGGATCCAGGCAAGCTGTGAGAAAGCAACAGGTTTTGGGTGAACTCTTAAGGAGCTAACTCTCCAGAACAAGTCCTCTAAATCAGCAGGTGAAAATCACTACTCTTTTATTTCTTCCAAAGAGTAAGTGGAAAATGATGTGAAGGTTAGTTTAGCTGTTTACTCAGTTAACTCCCTGCTTCAGAGCCCTAATGTACCCCCTTCTATCATTGTGCTGCCTTCTCCTTCTTTTTAAATACATAGGAGATCTTTACAAACTTTCTCTGCTGTGCTATTTCAGTGGATATATGTAAATGTTCTGTCGTGTCTGACTCTCTGTGACCCCTTGAACTGTAGCCCACCAGGCTCCTCTGTCCATAGGATTTCCCAGGCAAGAATACTGGAGTGAGTTGTCATTTTCTTCTCCAGAGGATCTTCCCGACCCAGGGATCGAACCTGAGTCTCCTGCTTCTTCTGCACTGGCAGGCAGATTCTTTATCACTGTACCACCTGGAAGCCCGCTTTCATAATATATATTTCTAATTTTCTGGCATTTCCTTCTGATGGGGACTTTACCTGAGAGATTGGGTAATAGTGGAGAGCCTGTGTCCAGCCAATGTGGTTTTTATTCAGCAAATAATTACTGATCACCTACACTGAGCCAAGTACTATTCCAGCCCAGGAGATAGATGAACAAAACAACAAAATTCCTGCTCTGATAACCCTATAAGAACCTTATATTCTGCTGCAAGTGATAGACAAATAGAGAAAATAAAGTGTAGAGTATATTAGAACCTGCTTAATGCTACAGAGAAAAATAAAACAGGAACATGGAATGGGATACCATTTAAGCAGCATCATCAGGGATAATGGTGATGACTGAGGATGAAGGTAACACCTGAGCATGAGAATATCTGGAATGGGAGAAGCATTCTGAATGGAAGACCACTGCACAGGCCCTGGGGGGGTGTGAGCCTGCCTGTTGTATTGTACTCCAGGACAGGCAAGTAGGCCAGTGAGGCTGCGAGGAGTTAAAGGGTGCAAGGAGAGGTACAAAAGATGATGTCAGGGACGGGGGAGGGAGGAAGGTAGTGTCGGACAGGTAGTGTAAGGACTTAAGACTTTTTTTCTGAAAGGAGTAAGGAATCACTGGAAGGTTCTGAGCTGAGAAACACTCTTGCTGAGCCGGAGAATAGATTGTTGAGGGACAAGAGTGAAAGTCAGGAGGCCACTGAGAAGGCTGCCATGGACTGAGTTGTATCTCCCCACACCCGTATTTGAAGTCCTAACCTCGTGACTGGATTTGGAGATAGGATCTTTACAGAAGAAATGAAGTTAAATTGAGGTGATTAGGATAGGTTCTAACCCAATAGGACATGATTGCCATTGCTGTAAGAAGAGGAAATCAGGACACAGATATGTACATATGCAGGGGGAAGACACAAGACGGACAATCTACAAACCAGGGAGAGAGGCCTCAGAAAAGACCAACCCAGCTGATTCTTTGATGTCAGATTTCTAACCTCTGGAATTGTGAGAAGATAAGTTTCTGTTGTTTAAACCACCTGGTCTCTGGTGCTTTGTTACGGCAGCCCTAGCAAATTTATACAAAGGTCACTGCGATAGTCCAAGCTAAAGATTATAGTGGTAGCCGTGAAGTGTGAGAAGGGATCCAACTCGGCATGTTTTGTAGGTAGAATCAATAGCATTTGCTGAAAGTTCTGGAATAGGGTATGAAAGAAAGAGAGGGGTGAGTGACAGCTCCAAGGACTTTGCCTGAGTAACTGGAAGAGTAAAGCTGCTATGAACTGAGATGAGCAGGATTGTAAGAAAACAGCAGTTCGGGATGGAAGAAGAGGAACCTGGTTTGAGACATTCTACATTTGAGATACCTGCTAGACACCCAAGTGGAGAGATAAGGTGGGATGTTAGACATGTGACTCAGGAATACAGGGTAAAAGTCCAGGATGGAAACCTACATTTGGGACTCACCAGCAGACAGATGGTATACAATGCCAAAAGAGAAAAAAAGAGAGAATGAAAGTCCTAGAACTGATCCTGAAGGATGCTCATATTGCCATGTAACAAGCCCTCTCAAATCTCACAAATGCTTCAAAAAGTATGGTGTCAAGCCAGAAAAATTCCATTAAGAATATAAAGCCTCCTAGTCTTCCTATATTAAAGAAGCAAGAAAGTCAGTCAGCAGTGTAGCAGTTTGCATTGTGAATTTGAGCTAACAGTTCTATTGAAAATCAAAGATAGGTTTGCTTAGCATAGAGAGGGGAAACTTCAGATTGCATTATCTTTCTTTAGAAACCTGTCCACTGACAGGAGCCTATCAGTCATACTGATAACCCTGGATGAAGTCATAGTTTTATGAAAGCCACTCCCTTTTATCTTTAATGCTTCTGTGCATATCCTAAATTTTTTACATGTAAAATTAGTTGTAATCAATTTTTCAAATCTTTAAAAAAATTCTAAATGAGGACTGAATCCTTCTAAACTTGCTACATTTTTTTTTGTCAAGCTTAAAATCTTTTTATTTGAAGTGAAAAGTAGGCATGTATTCCCTAAAGAAGAAAATCCAGCAAACTTCACTCCAGAAATATTTATGTTAAGGCTCATGGAAGATATCAGTCTACATGGCATTTCCCAGGAGGAAAAAAATAGCTACAAGCAAACAACTTTTGCTTCAACCCTTAAATAGACTGCTATCTTCTATTTTAAAATATATGAATAATGATCAGGTATAATGAATAATTATTAGACAAATTTTTATAGGAAAAAGTGTAGACTATATTAATATAGAAGTATATAACATTAGGCATTTATAAAGATATTCGGTAAATTTGTGTAATGATACATAGTATACTGCAACACAGCAAATGTTATTTGAATGATGTCCAAATAAACAATGAATGACCTTCTTGTGTATTATGTTATAAGCTAAATTCAGAACCCAAATAATTTGAAATGCTGCTAATTTTCACAAAATAAAATCTTTAAATGTCGTGCCTCAATTCTATTTTCCATTCTCTTTATTTCTATTTTCCCCCCAATATATTTACTTTTAAAAGTACTGAATATTCCAAGCACACAGATGATACATTGCAAGTAAACAGGCTTTGACATTATGTCAGCGGAGCTGGTTGTCACAGCTCTGACCTCTGGAACGAAGGTACAACTACCTTCTCTTCATTAAGTAAGTGAGGATTATCCCCCAACACATGATAGCTAGAGTGCGTTGGGAGGGAAGATGGTTTGGTTGTCTTTCATTCCTTTAAAACCTGTGGGGGTTTTTTTCCCTGAAAATAATTTGGGAATTTAGGAAGAAACAGTTAACTCCGTAGTTGTAATTGTGACACAATACTTTTGGACAGGTGTTAGAAGCTGAAAGCTATAAAAATTCTTCACAGAAAGTGTGAACTTTAGAGTCATGATGCAGGGATCTGCGTTGCCTCTAAAATACTGCTTAGCCATTTCCCAATTAGAAATCCCCCCCAATGCACCCTTACATGTATACACATGGCGTTGTCAGCGCAAAAATCACTGAATTAGAAACTTGAGACTTCAGAGTTAACCTACTCCTTTTGATCAAATTTGTAATCAGGCAGTACTGTAGGCTTATGGAGGATGGAAAACATGATTTCCTGTTTCCTCACCCATTCCAGATTTCAACCAAACCACTGAACTGTAACTTGGAAAGAGTACTTGACTCACGCTTACAGTTCTATCTCAGACAGCTACTGTCTTTTTATAGCTCCAGGAACAGTAGCTTAATTTTAAAAGAATCTACTGATCTGAGAGAAGAGCTGTGCCAGCACCCTGCTGCTCACATTCCTTCCCTGGAGCTCCACTTTCCTATTTCTCTGCTATTCTGACATCTCTTGGAGAAAACTGCTGAGCTCAGAAGACAGAAACCACACACACCGCAGCGCTGTTGAGCACGTAAAATATCAAGTGCATTCTTCTGCCTCAGGGTCACACTTACCAGTTTGCAAAGGATTGATGGTGGTGGAAATGTTCCGATGTGACCGTGGGGGCTGGATGAGACAGTGAAAAACCCACGTAGGTCGAATCCAAGAAAAAGTTAAGAGTCAGGGCTAAAAAGACAGGACCCTGGGGGCCAGTTCAAAAATAATGCATGTGGTCAGGCAGTAGAATGTCAGAGCCACACAGCCAGCCTTTTATGGCTAAGAGAGTAGATAAATATAGCAGCAAATGGGGAGTGCAGTCCTGAACGGAAAGGAAGAGGAAGGCCCTGGCAGGTAGCTGCCACAGTAATATAATGATGTTCTTGCCAGTCAGTGGGTCTGGTCTGATTAAGCTAAATGTAGGGCTTTTATTTGGCTGTATGAGCTATTTTCAACATCATTTTACCATACCATATTTAAAAGTGTAATGGAAAGAGTGGTTTGTATTGAGAGCTAAAAATAGGTGTAGTAATTTGATTCCCAAAATGAACTTCATGGAATTTTAATACCGAGATATGGTTCTGAATGTGCTGTTCATAATCCATGAGCAATACATTTAGGAGACACAATGTGAAGAAAGAACAGGGGGCTGACTAGAGGCAAGCAGGGAAGACATGTGTTACATGTGATGGAAACTCTGCCTTGATGATACCCAGTCACCGTTTCTCTCACTTCAGGAAAATTTACCAAGTAGGTCATATTATAGCTTCAAGTTTGAATCTTTGATTCCCTATTCATTAACTGACCCTTTAAGAAGCAGCATGTTTTATCTAACCTAAAGTCAGAGTATGATCACTCTATCTAACGAGAGATTCTCTTTCTTTGATTTTAGACCATTTCACAAATTCAGAGGTGATGTTACCTAGTGTCGAGAACCTGCACTTCAGACTCAGACCAGATCTTGGTTCTAGGCCGTCAATGGCACTCAATAGCCATGTAACTTTAAGCAGTTTATTTCTCCTTAAGCTTCATTTTCTTTCTCTATAAAATGGGAATAGCATCCAAATTATGGGACTGCTGTGGAGATCAATAACGC